GCTCCCACGAGCAACACCGTCCTAGGCTATACGTCACGTCACACTAGGAAGCAGTGCCGCGTCACCGCGTGACGTCACCGCGGAGGGGAGTGGCGGGGCGGGAACTCGCCTATTACCGTAGTAACGCGAACGTTACGTTACTGCCACGTACCGCTGGGGAGGTAGGGGCGATCCATGGCTCAACATGTCACAGTATTATTATATTGGTACCTGCAGTAATTGAACATCAGTGTTATTGAGATTCGCTAAATTATAAAAAAAGTACATTCGGAAAATACTCCATGTGATTCCAGTAATCCTCATTTCCTTTATGGCCATACGTCACATAATTTAATATATTAAACATCTGTTAAACCTTCGATTATCCTTATACTTTATTGTATCTACTAGTAACAGCATTACTCTCTCTTTTCTAATGTCATTTGTTTCTATTTTAGATGTACATGGACGTCAACAGTATTTCTTTCAGGGGCATCCAGGTTTCCAGGGGTAGCCAGAAAATTTGCTTACAAACTTTCATTTAAGCCATTTTTACTGCTTTACCAACTTTCCAACAATAATTTTCAAACACTTTGTATTTTTATTATTAATATTTGGCGTATCTCTTTGTGTTCTTCAATTTGTATTTTTTTTAATCCAGGGGGAGAGAGAATATGCCCACACCGTGCCGCTGACCTTGGTTATGTATATGGATACATATTCAATTTATTTATCCACAATAACAGAATTTATTTGTCCGTATTCTTTCACGCTGTTACAGCTTGCTGCTTGCTGATGTATCTACTTCCAGGGCCACCCAAGAGCATCGATTAATGTATTGTATCCTGTAATTTCGTTACCACGCAATTTGCTTTCTAACTGTAATTCATACTCAATGTACACTAAGTTATAACAATAAAAGCATTGCCATTTTAAAGTACGAAATTATCTTTGAAAAATACAAGGTTATTATACTCAGGTGCGAAACTGACACTGAATCAAAAGTGTCTTCCTAATTTATGCTAGAATGCAACTCAGATTTAGGCAAATTATAACCTAAGAAGGAACATATTTCTACTAAAGGACGGCGAGAGATGGCGGTAATCCACTATCCCTTTACTGGAAAATATATGAAATGAGAGTAATTTTGTGGCTAGTAGAAAGTATTCATCATGACATAATAAGCATAGTTCATTTACTTCACCAGTTATTTTGTATGGCTGTGAATGTAACCCCTCACTTTACAGATATGATTTACTCGTCTGAAAATAAAACATTCGGAACTGAGAGGGATGAAGTAGGTTGATTATCCCCAGTTGCTGGACGACTTACAGCGCAAAAATTGACGGAAATATAGGGGAAGAGGAAAATTGATTCAGAACACGACTGCGATAAGCATCTACTAAACTGATGACGCCTCATAATTGAATGACATTTTAATAGAACAGAGTTGCATCGCATTTAACTGAGTTGGGCTTGTGTTGTCATTGTGATTTTAATTTATAATAGCAGTATGGTAGGAGATTCATAAGTAAGTAATTGCTGTACTAAGCAATACAGAATCACATAATACCGATATGAAGCAATATGTCGCAGTCCTTTAATTCAGTGCCATGCCCAAATTGAAATGGCTGCAGTTTCTGTCTCGCGAGATCATTATGCACGCACTCTTACACTACTTTACTTCAGTCACAAGAGATCTTTAGTAAAATATGTTTCAATTTATTTATGCTTAAACCATGAATTTCCTGTTCTTAAAATTTAAATTTGTACATATTTTAAAAGGTGGTGATTATACAGTGTACAGTCTATTATTCTGGAGGTGAACGGGCTGAAAGATGTGTGGCAATAATGGTGCATAAAAGTGTAGTGAGGAGTGTTGTTAAGAAGACTGTTTGTAATGACAGAATTATTGCTCTGAAGTTAAAGGCGGAACCGGTAGATATACTGATTATGCAAGTGTACATGCCAACATCAGAGTATGAAGATGATGAAGTGGAAAAAAGTGTGACACAATTGAAGAAATTCTTCAGGAAGATGGAAGAGGAGACACAAACAGCATCATATTGGGAGACTGGAACAGCACTGTTGGAGATTAACCATATCAGAATATTGTTGGATCACATTGACTAGGAAGACGGAATCACAAGGGTCAAATGCTTATTGACTTTTGTGAAATAAATGACTGATTGTCACCAACACTTGGTTCAAGAAGCCAAAGAGAAGAATTTACACATGGAAGGCACCTGGGGATTGGAGGAGGCATCAGCTGGACTACATCCTTGTGAAACATCAATTCAGAAATAGTGTGAAGGATGTGAAGACGCTTCCTGGGGCAGATATTGACTCTGACTACAACTTACTGGTTGCCAAGTTTCAAACCAGGTTGAAGAAAATTATAAGATTTCAAAAGCGCAGACCTAGATGGGATCTGGAGAAGTTATATGCTCAAAGACAAAACGTGCAAGAGACCCTAGAAGAGAAACTCGGTGCAATTG